CCAAAGTGGTCCCAGTGGTGGTAGGAGCACTTGGGGCTGTGATTCCTAAGCTGGGAGAGGAGCTCCAACAGCGCCCCGGGACAACATCAGAGCTCTCCGTCCAGAAGAGTGCAGTGCTAGGAATAGCTAAGACACTGCACAGAACCCTCAAACTTGCAGGCCTCTGGTAGAGGATCCCAGATTGAGGAAGACACATACCGTCCATAGGGGTGAGAGGGGATTTTTTTTTATATACACATACATATGTGTGTACATACATCATGTTTATTTATTTGTCATATTTATATGGCTGCCCATTTCAAGAGACTCTGGGTGGCATACAACAAAGTTATAAACAATATATACAAACTGATATTGTTATTAATATTAAAAACTTTTATATTATAAAAGGCACAAAACTAAAACAAAATAAAAAAGAGATTAGGCGAAGAGCAGATGTTAATTACACTGGAGCCATCTCAATATCTTGCCAGTCCCCTGGGGTCCCCAGGCCTGATTACACAACCAGGTCTCAAGAGACTTCCAGAAACGGAAGGGATGAAGCCAGCCTCACTTCAGAGGGAAGGATGTTCCAAACAGCGGGGGCCACAGCAGAAAAGGCCCACCACCTAGGACCCGCCAATGAAGCTCCCTAGCCGACAGGACCCACAGCATGCCCTCTCTGCTGGATCTTGTGGGACAGGTAGATGTAATAGAGGAGAGGCGGTCCCTCAAATAACCTGGTCCCATGCCATGTAGGGCTTTAAAGGTCAAAACCAGCACCTTGAATTGGACCCGGAAACAGACTGGCAACCAATGCAGCTTACGGAGCAAAGGTGTATCATGTGTTCTTCTGGAAACACACATAACTGCATGCGCTGCTGCATTCTGTACCAGCTGAGGTTTCCGGATACTCTTCAAGGGCAGCCCCATGTACAGTGCATTAGAGTAGTCCAACCAGGAGGTGACTAGGGTATGAGTCACCATCAGTAGAGCCCCTCGATCTAGGAACAGGCGCAACTGACGCACAATACAAAGTTGAGCAAAGGCCCTCCTAGCCATGACTGCTACCTGCTCCTCGAGACAGACACATATGCAGAGGCACAGAGATAGATTTTTGTATTTATTTATGTATTTAACCTTCGAATCAGACTTGACTCCTGGCAATTACATGGACAAATCCCTGCAGTTTTTTGGGGAACATTTTCAGAAGTGGCTTGCCACTACCTTCTTCTTAGGGCTGAGACAGAGCAATGGGCCCAAAGCAAACTGGTTGTCTGTAGAATATAATAGGACTGTGCAATTTGATCAAATATCTGGAACTGAATTTCCAAATTACATTAGAGATTCAAATTAAACATTTTAATGACTATGAATGGAGCTAATGATTCGATTCAGAATTAGCCTGTACACCACTAGCATAAAATCACATTCACTATTATTAACTATGGAAGTTATATATACCTTAATCAGAGTTGGGTACTGTGGTGCATCCTTCTCTAAAGGTATAATTTCAAAGTTAGTAGGAATAAATTCATTTTTCATTGGAAGCTTGAATTTCCCATTCAGGTCAGCATTTTGCCATTTCTGTGTAAAAAAAATGTAAATAAGAGTATTTTTTTTAAAAAAAAATTGCAATGGAACCTTGCTAAATATCACTTTTAGATATTTGTGTTCCTCAAAATTCTAACCGAAACTAAAAATGGTTGCTAACGTACTACATTATTTGATATATGATTGTTACTGGCCACAGTCCATTGTTTTGATTTTCCTTGTAATCATACTGCAGAATATGATAGCACATGTATAAACTGAGGATTGTTTACATACTATAACCACCATGTTGACCTACTAGACTGTTCCATACAAATACTATCATGTAAGTAGCTTTTTTTTGTCAGCTTCAATTACACAAATTCTTTTGTCTAGTTAAAGGTATTACACATATAGAAATCAACTTCTGCCTGTGTCATACACCAACTATTGTGTAATACACACTGTGCATGGGTTTCCTCTCAGACCAGCAGCTAGATTTGCATGCACAGAGTTTTCCTTTAATCTAATAAAATAATAAAACAGGCTTTCTGAGAGACAAAGGGGGTGAATGAATTCAGCCTCCCACACATTTCTCCTTCGAACATCTGTTCAGGAACATTTTTTAAAAAGATTTTACATGAATAAATATAAATATGAATGCCAAATGGATAACATACGTCCAAAAGAAAACATGGGTTTAAAGTCACTGTTTAAATAATACATATAGAATTGTGGTGGAATTTGTACTTTCAGTTCTTTACACTGGAGTATAAAAGATCAAGACAAGCAAATAAGATTTCTGACAGATAAGAAAACAAAATATTTTAAATGTGTATATTCAAAAGATCTAATTTTTAAAGAAAGGAAACACTAATAAATATGCAGAACAACAAGATCAACATAATGCAATAAGGCTATAACCCTATAGATAACGTTGGTAGGGAAAAACTTCCAGTTATGCAATGCATGTACAAAAGTGATAGGTGATATTTATATTTAAAATAGTTTCCTTTGCAGCAGTATAAATATTTTTAAAAATACATATTTGTGCCTGCTTTCACAAACAAGACACTATAAATATTCTTAGCATACCTTAATGACTTCATCAGAAATCATTTCTTGCTTGTACTGGGTTCCATACCAGCATTCTTTTTTATCAGTTTTTCCTTCAAATGTCTTAGAGACAATTGCAACCCTAAAAATAAAATAAAAATATACCTAACCAAGGTTTTTCATCTCCCAAACAAATAATTCTGCTTTGGCACAATGAACTTATTATGCATTAGAACACTTCTTTAGAAATGTACAATCTGTTCACATTAATATTAAAAGTATTATGTTAATGAACCTGTTAATACTCTGATATTTGGCAACTTCTGAGCAAACACATTAAACTGGTAATATATGTTAGAGCGATGGTTCTTAAACTGCTTGACCTAATTACTCCCTTTCCCAGTCTCTTATAATGTCATTGCTCCCACAAAAAAAACTCTGTTGTTTTACACAAGCCTCTCAACAAACTGGATCCTTGACTCACAAACAGGCAATTACAAATTGCTCCATTACCCACAGGATATGCCCAAATTACCACTCAGGGGTAATATCCCCCAGTTTAAGAAGCATTGTTTTAGAGCATTTAGTAGAGACTTATGGTTCAGGTTTTCTGTAAACTCAAAGGAATAACAATTTATAATTTTTTATCCTAACTGTATTGTAAAAACAGAATAATATTCCTAATAATATTCCTTCTTAGGTTAGGATCTGCTAAGAGGAACAATACTAGAAGAATTCTTATAGAAGGGAGAAGACTAAGACAAAGAATTTGCATCAAGGAGGGGACTGGACTAGATGACCTCTGAGAAATTCTAACTCTATCAAAGATCTGTTCCTGCCCCTCCCCCAACCAAGAATATTTCACCTGGAACAGGAAGGAAGTGGGACATGGTAGTTCAGGTACCACTGTCCCAAGGTGCTGAATCACCCTTCCAGTAACAGCTTCTGACTACTTCCTCTCTTTCAACTTCTTCCTGGGGCAATAGGGAAGGATCTTCTTAAAAATATCTGGGGACTGGTTTAAATTAAAGGATGCTTTCTGAATTTCCTCCTCATCTGATAGAAGCTTATGTAACATTCAAAATTCAATTCACTTTCCAGCCATTCTAAATAGGTATTTGAAGAAAAAGCCTCAGGCCATCCATAGCAAAATCTCTCTCTCCCATATTCCAAGCTGTTTTAATATGTGACAAAGTTTTTCACCAAATAAAATTCGTGCCTCCTTTTAATAAGAAGATATTTTTCTTTTCCCATTAAAATGGGGGGAAAAAGGAAATTATCAAGAGTAATTAGTATCTTTACAGCCAATTACATGCAAGAGAAAACATTTACTATCAACATTACTCTGCATCTCAGAGCCAAATAGTTCTTAATTGGAAAAATATAAGACACTTGGATGGACAGAACACTCATCAATTTGAACATTAAATACAAATAAAATCTTAAAATAATGGCCAGAACTAAACAAATAGTGGAATTAGCTACAATTTTTCAGTTTAGTCTTGTTCTCCCCTGCCAAATAAAATATCAAGATGCATATTCTGTGGAATAAATGAAGCAACCCATATAGCCTTTTTGCATGTTATGTATGAATACAAAGCACAATACAATAGCATAAGAGAAGCTTTATTTCCCTTTGGAATTAGTTTCCATGGTAACAGCTCCATTACTGACATTGAGAGAACGCTGCTTATTTGAATGTTGCTAGTGTACACTCCCCAAAAATCAAGATTTCAGCAAAAAAAGAGAGTAAATTATTTACACAATAGCTGGAAGTCTATCTTTATAACATAGATGGCTGTCCTAAAAAGACTGTGATAGTTAGGATAATATGAGTGATTATCATCATTCTCCATATAAATTCACTCATTGCCAATAAAAACAATTTTTCTGTTACCAGTGGGCAGTTTTTTGTTTTGCTTTCAGTTAGCTAATTATAGAAATTGTAGGACAAATCCAGAGCAACTTGTTCTATCAGTAAGGCTGATGTAACTGAGGCTAAAGCAAATGTCAAATTGGCTGACAGGGGCATTCTCCCTCAAGTTCTGGTATTCCATGGATGAGTTGGGAAGAACCTCCAGAACCTCAATGCCACCAGAACAGGAACAGGCAATCTTTTTCTGTTGAGGACCACACTCCATAATAGATCATCTGCTGGAGGCAGCAATACGAGCAGACTGAACAAATACAAGTAAAATAAAGGTCAAAAGGCTCTTCACATCTTTTTTTCTTTCCTACACCTGTTCTCTTTCAAAAAGCAGGCTGTAGAGAAGAACAAATACCTCTTACCAGGGACAAAAAAAAGTGTGCTTTTTTGTACTGGGAGATTTTAAGAGGCAAAAACACCTTAGGCATGAAGGCTGGCTGGGTGACTTTGGGACAGTCACTCTCTCTCAGCTTAACTCACCTCACAGGGTTGTTGTTCTGAGGAAAATAGGAGGTGGTAGGAGTATTATGTATATTCACCACCTTGAGTTATTTATAAAAATAATAAAGGAGGGATAAAAAAAAAACCTTTAAAAATGGGTGTCTTAAGAGTTGTTAAGGTACCAATTTGACCTTTTAAAGCTCCCTACCCTCCAAGCATTTCAGAGTGTGTCCCTCGACATGCCACACAGAACGTGGAGGGGACTCAAGGTGGAGGAAGTGGTACACTTCTGCTCTAGAGCAACAATGTGAAAAGGGAACACATGGTTCTCCACATATTTGCTAAATAGATGTGATGGCTCGGTTCAGATGATCATCAAAAGAAACCTGGTAGTATACAGAGCTTAAGAAGCTGAACTGAGTTCAAGTCACCCTCACACACAGGAGTTCACTGGGTGACTTTGGGGCTCTCTCCCAGCCCAATATACCTCAAGGTTTGTTGTTGTGGGGGAAAATGAAAGAAGGGAGAACCATGTACACTACCCTGAGCTGAAATAACAATGAATATAAGCTGAATGAATGAATGAATGCAAGATAAACAAGTTATAATTTTCCTTTTTCCTGTTGAGGTCTACTTTTTTGTTTCCCACTTAAGAGAAAGCATTTTTTTTTCAGATTTACAAATCAAGAAATTAAATTCCCCAATCAAATCAGAAATCTACTTCCAATCATATTCTCTGGTTTTGATTTGGAGGGCAAACACTAATCATAACAAAAACAAGAGAAGCAAATTCATAAAAGAGGGAGGTAGGTGCTGCTTATTTCCAGTCTTCTCAGGTTTAATTCAGACACACCTCTTAATCATACCTAACTGTGAAAGCACTAGGACTGAATGCAAATTAGTATTATGTGTGTGTGGTGGTGCCTTAGAGTTGGTTTTGATTCCTGGTGACTGCCTGGTCAAGTCTGTGCAGTTTTCTTGGCAACATTTTTGGATGTGGCTTGTTTTTGCCTTCTCACTGAGAGTGACCCAGTTGCCTTCCATGCCTAAGCCAGGACTAGTACTCAGGTTTCCCCACTCCTAGTCCAGGGCCATAACTACTAGACTGAACTGCCTTCTCAGTAAGCGTATAAATTTATTTTGATAAATTTATTTAGAAGGGCTGTGCAATGCTTTGGATTCAGTTCTGAAAAGGTGCTTCAGAGCCTGCAGGAGTGCAAATGCAGCACCTGCTGACAACTCATTAAAGCATTTGGCTGCTGACAGGTACTGTGTCTAAGGAGTCACCAACAGGTGCTGCATTTGCTTAAGTGCTGCATTTGCTTAAGTTCTGAAGCACCTTTCTGAAATCAAATTCAAAGTATTGTACAGCCCTAGTATTAAAGCTGAATGACAGCCCCAAAAAATCATATTTGAAAAGTATATACTTCTCACAACTAAAATTACTACCTACTGTTGCCCCTAATTTATTACCCCATGCTATGTTTGCACCAAGCGTCTTCTTTCTAAAACTAGGCACATTTCAGGAACTACTTTAGGATATGTTAGTTAATCTTTGTTATTTTGGGATGAAATATAATCTTTACCTTTCAATAAGCAACACAATGTTCCATTTATAAATCAGAGTAATACATTAGAATATGGCAATACAGCTTACCGGACATTTTCAGGTCTCAGTTTGTCCAATACCATTTCTATTAAATCAGGCCTAAATTCTTCAAGTAAATATTCAGCAGCAAGTACTTCTTCAATAGGATAGTACTAAAATAAAATGTTATGCTTTTAGCTTAGATTGAAAAAGATTTAAAAGTGCTCAATAATGGTTATAGAAGGAGTCATTTAGAAGATCTATTAACAGTTCAGAAAGAAAAACATCCATTCTATCATGTTGACAATGGACAAAAAGCAGTATATGCTGATCCCTAGAGGACATCTCTGCAATTACATGGTAACACAATAATTCAATTCCAGGAACAGTAATAAGATTTTTCAATATATACTATCCTTTGAAAATACTTACCTATTAATTCTGGGAAAAAAATAAATAAATGTAGGAGAAAGTATGGTCACCACACTTGCTTTGCAAATTAATTTATTATCACCACTGTAGAGTTTCCTTTAAAAGGAGATGGATAATTTTTTCTGGGTGGAAAATTCATTCATTTATTTGTTCATTCATTCTGTCAGGGCCAGCTCAAACTCTGACAAGGAGACTGACAATGAGCAGCCAGTTCCAGAGTTGCCAGATGAACGCCTGAGAAGCTGCAGGCAGTAGAGGCTATGCTATCCAGGAACCAGGAGGCACAGCTGTCGCTGGTCTCTGTAGATGGGGGATCTGAGCTGCCACCCCTTTCCAGAGCAAGGGCTTGCCATGCAGAGAGCAGAACAGAGCAAAGGTGCTCTGCAAGGCTCCTTGTAAGAAAGGAGCCGTGTCCTTCCTAATGAGCAACACTGGGATTGCTTCTATTTAAGAAGAACAGCAAGCTCAAGCCTCTCTGTTGGCAACAACTGTTCATTTACCAAGACTCTGTGCACCTTGACTCCCAACTTGAAACCCTGTGACTGTGACTCTGGAACTGGACCGGCTAATGAACTTTCTGCAACATTTGGACCCTTGGACTTTGCTTGATGACTCTTGTGCCTGCTGTTTTGGATCTGAACTCTCTTAAGGCAAGCTTGCTCGACTTTTGGGGACTTGTTTTCTCTACTGCGTGTGTTTGTATTCACATTTCCTTTGCTGCTTGTTTATTTGCTTCACAAGCTTCTCAGTAAAGTTTGAAACCACCTCTATGAGTGTTTGTGCATGTGTGGCTTGGGACAGGACTCATTCATTCACTCACATTCTGAAATTGAGAGGCTAGAAGACTTTCAAGGACAAAATGGATGCTTTAAAGCTTATGGAGGGTTAACATGTTGCTTTGCCTCTTACTACTACCCCAAAGTGAGAAAACTCAGCCTGAATTTGTGGGGAGGATGTTCAAAAATTTAAAGGTAAAATGAATGCTTTAAACTTCTGCAATACCAATTTCCCCTCTGATTTAATCCTTACTCTAATGTCTTGTAGAGCCAACAGAAAACAGCAATAATCACTCTGAGAGGGCTTGGAGGACTGCAAACAGGTGCTGGGGGAGTGTATGCACCCCCAGGATTGCCCTACCTCCACTCTAGAAGTTCAGGCATTAAACTCACAATGACAGTACTAACATAATGTAAAACCCAATACATACTGTAATGTAAAGTCTAATAAATAGGACTATGAAAAAAATGAAAGCTTTTAATTAAGGAACATATATTTCAGTGTATAGTAAAACCATGCTACCTATTTACTATGCAGGTAAACACAGAATCAAATCACCTCTGATTGAAAAAAGAATGTTATAGAATTGTTTAATAATAAGCAACCCAGTTCCCTCAATCTTATTTCTTCACCCAGAAAATGAGGAGATTGATCACTGAGCCATCATCAACTACCACTCTTTACAGTAGCAACATATGGAAGATTCAAACCACAAGAAGAACCAGACACTGACATTGGCTTTGCCTCTCTCTCAACTCACCTCTCATCCACTCAGAGGCTTCAATGAGAATTGTATTTGCATTTGGTTGAACCCAAATACAATGCTCCGTGCAATTTGGACCCTGCTTTTATAATAAGAGCCCTGAACCTGCACAGAAATGGATATGCATTCAAAGTAACATGCAGCCCTATTGCCTCCCCTGCTGCCAATCTTAGCAATCTTTGCCCACTTGAGGACCAAAGGGAAAACTTTGCTTACAAGTGCCATTGATACCAATAACTTTTTCCGGAAAGTCACAGAAATATTAACAAACAATACAATATTAAATACAATATTCTAAGGGTATATACCAAGTCTTAAAACATAAATAGCTCTATATTGTAAGTTGCAACTTACATGAAGCATCCCTGCAAGTTTTGATGTATAACCTCGGGGTCTTTCCTTATCTTTAAATCTGAATGCTACAGCATTTAGATCCTAGCAAGAGAAAGAAAATAAAGTCAAAATATTCCTGCAGCTATCACAAATGCAGATTAGTATTTTAAATTACAAAAAATTCTTCTTAAACATAGATTTAGTTTAATTTCTGATGTTCAGGATTAATCTCATGAATGGAACTGGAAGACTGCTTACATTATTATGAATGGCCTATTCTGCACAGTAAACAAAAATATGATTCTTTGCATTAAATGGATACAAAGAAAACAGATTTCACCAATAATAATGATAAATAAATGTAAGGCTTGAAGTGCAAGTTACTTGAAAGCTGAAATAAATACATGGAGTCAATCCTCTGAAACACCTAAAAAAGGTCATGTTCTTCAGAATTAAAGTAGGATCATTAGCAGTCTGATAAACTATATATAAAACCACATAAATACCATACTCCTTGAAAAATGTTCTTTAAGTTCTGTCTTCCCCATTCTGGGGACTCCCCAGTACAGTAATACCTTGGTTCACGAACGCTTCTGTTCACGAACAATTTGGTTCGTGAACAGCAGCGTTCGCAAATTTTTGCTTCCGTTCGCGAACTCCGCATCAGGTGACGAACACGACCCACGGCCATCTTCCCTGCTCTGACACATGGTCGTGGGTTCCTCTAGGCAAGATCGTGGTCGCAGACAGACACCTGCTGTGAAGCGTTTTGGTGTCACCTCAAGCAAGGTTAGTGTTCTCTCTCTTCATACTGTACTGTACTGTACT